GGGGGGGGGGGGGGGGTTGGATGTAAGTTAGTGAAGGCCCTAGTGGGCAAAGGTGTCGGAGCAGCGAGGCTTAACAGTCGCAGTCAGTGGTAGCACTAAGTCTACGACAAAATTAGGATTGTGCAGGTAACATGTTGAATGCATGGAATGGAATAGGACTAGGTAAAGCCCATTCCAATGTATTTGCAGTTTGTGTTTCACTATCGAATAGTACTGTAGAAGTAAAATAAGAAGGAACAGCCCATGGGTTGTTATTAACTTCTTTTCCATTTACAAAGATATCATAAATAATATAAGCAAATAAAATAGAAGCTACAACAGAAATAATAGACCCAAAACTAGAAATTGCATTCCATCCTGCGAAAGCGTCTGGGTAATCAGGAATTCTTCGTGGCATACCAGCCAGCCCTAAGAAGTGTTGAGGGAAGAATGTTAAATTAACCCCAACAAACATAGTCCAAAAATGAACTTTTCCCAGTAATTCACTGTAAGTAAGCCCTATTATTTTTGGAGTCCAATAATAGAATCCAGCAAATAGTGCGAAAACTGCTCCCATTGATAATACATAATGGAAGTGTGCTACTACATAATAAGTATCGTGTAATGCTATATCCATTGAAGCATTAGCTAATACAACTCCTGTTAACCCTCCGATTGTAAATAGAGCTAAGAATCCTATAGTGAACATTAAAGGAGTTGTATATCTTAAGCTACCTCCATATAATGTAGCTAACCAAGAAAAGATTTTAATACCAGTTGGAACTGCAATAACCATAGTAGCCGCTGTAAAATAAGCTCTTGTATCAACATCTAATCCAACAGCAAACATATGGTGAGACCAAACTAAGAATCCTAAGATTCCGATTGAAAACATTGCATAAACCATTCCTAGGTAACCAAATATAGGTTTACCTGAGAATGTAGAAACAATGTGACTAACTATACCGAAACCAGGTATAATTAAAATATAAACCTCAGGGTGACCGAAAAACCAGAAAAGATGTTGATATAATACTGGATCACCACCACCAGCTGGATCATAGAAACTAGTATTAAAGTTTCTATCAGTTAATAACATTGTAATTGCACCGGCTAATACTGGTAATGATAATAGTAATAAGATAGCTGTAATGAAAATAGCCCATACAAATAACGGTAATTTATGTAAGCTCATACCATTAGTTCTCATATTAATAACAGTAGTAATAAAATTAATTGCACCTAATAAAGATGAAACCCCAGCTAAGTGTAAACTGAAGATAGCTAAATCTACAGAAGCACCTGAGTGAGATTGAATTCCAGATAAAGGTGGATAAACAGTCCATCCTGTACCTGCTCCATTTTCAACTAGGGCACTTAATAATAATAATATTAATGAAGGTGGTAATAACCAGAAACTTATATTATTTAATCTAGGAAAGGCCATATCGGGGGCACCTACATGTACAGGTAATAAATAATTACCAAATCCACCCACTAAAGCAGGCATAACCATGAAAAAAATCATTACGAAAGCGTGTGCCGTAATAATAACATTGAAAAGTTGATGGTCACCTTGTAAAACTTGCACACCTGGTGCTGCTAATTCTAATCTAATTAGAACAGAAAAAGCAGTACCTATCATACCTGCAAATACAGCAAATATTAAATAAAGCGTACCAATCTCTTTAGCATTTGTTGAGGTTAACCACCTACTCATTTTTTAATATAATAAAAAATAAATATAAATATAGATGAAGAAATAAGTTTGTGTTAAAATAAGTTGAATGCAAAAAAAAAAACAAAACAAAACAAAAAAACAAAACAAAACAAAACAAAACAAAGAATTACCAAAAAATTTTGTGAATAATTCACCGTTAGCTCTTTTCTCTAAAATTAAAAAAATCCTTGTCCGCTATTACTTTGATTTGCAGCCTTCGCCATACCCCGCTCGAAGAGCTAGCGGTGCGGGGCTGCCGACTTGGCTTACTACCACTCGCTCGCCCTAGCCTTTGGCTGGGGATTTCATGGAGTCTCTAGCAAAGCAGAGGCGCTAGCAGGAGAGAGTCCCTCCACCTTACATTCCGCTCTGCCTGCCAACCCTCCTGCCTAACCTGCCTCGCCCAGAGCCGTAACTTAAAAGTCCCATTAAGAGAAGAGTCTCAGCTTATCGCCACCCCAGCCCTAGCCTTTGGCTGGGCAGGGGTGCTGCCAGGCTTTGCCCAGCCTCCCCCGCGCCTCGCCTCGCCTCGCATCGCCTCGCCTCGCCTCGCCTCCGCCGATAGACAGGCAAAGCAGCATGGCGGGGCGGCTGGTTCGCAAGGGGCGGGCCGGCTGCTTCTGCCTAGCCTGCCTACGCCTGCCTACGCCTGCCTACGCCTGCCTATCGGCATAGGCAGGCTAGGCAGGCTAGGCAGGCTAGGCAGGCTAGGCAGGCGCGGCTTTGCCGGGAAGGCGGAAGGGGCGGCTGCTTCGCTCGCCTCGCCTCCGCCGATCGGCAGGCAAAGCAGCATGGCGGGGCGGCTGCTTCGCAAGGGAGGCTATGCCCTCCCCAGCCAAAGGCTAGGGGTGCGGTGGGTAGGGTACAAGAGGCTGGGGGGTGGGTAGAAGCTAAAGCTGCGCAAGTAAGATATTTTTTAAAATTAGAAAATTTACCTTTCATTTAACCAATAAACATTTTACTTAGATTACTATTCTACCTTGCACTTCGGGCCATTGAGGTTGATACAACTTCCATCGCTACCCACGCTTTGCACACCATAGCTAACACTACACCAAGCCATCTGTGCTGCTGCGCAAGAACCTGGTAACCGCTACGCATGCCCCACACCCCACCCCTTGCCTACCCACCCCGAGCCAACCCACCCCTACCCTACCCTACCTACCGCTATCGGCTTTGCCTCCACCCTACCCACCCATAGCTATCGCCTTTGCCTCTCTCCTGCCCACCCTCCCCTACCCACCGCAGCTGGAGCAGGATATCGCAAGAAGATGGGAGCGGCTCCGCGTGCCCAGAGGGCGCAGCTAGATGGGTACACGGCAGGGCTAATTTACCTAAAAAGATCTGAACTCTCGCGCCAAGGCGAGGCAAAGCCGAGGCAAAGCCGATATTTTTAATTTTATTTTTTGTTTAATTATTTGCGACATCAGGATTTGAACCTAAACTAACAGATCATGAGACTCCCGTGCTAACCATTACACTATATCGCGAGATGGGGGGTAGAGGATTCGGACCTCTGTCGATGATGTGTAAGATCACAGCTAAACCTCTCAGCTAACCCCTCTTATTTTTTGATTTTTTTTGTTTATTTTTTGTTTTTTTTTGTTTATTTTTTGTTTTACCTAATTTTGCTATTATACTAAAGTTTAGGGTTTTTAGACTTTTTAGAGAGTCTCTTTTATAAAATCTCACTTACTTTTTTATTGAAATTTGGTGTTTGCCTCCCTGCCTGCCTGCCTGCCTGCCTGCCTAGCCTGCCTAGCCGATAGGCAGGCGTAGGCAGGCGCAGCGCGGCGCGGCGCGCCGCGGCCCGTCGCGGCGCGGCGCGGCGGGGCGACATGTTACACGACATTAAACTACTAAATATTAGTATTAAATTAATACTTTTTTTATAGATAAAAATTTAGGGCAAGCAGCGAAGTATTTGCGGCTCCCTCTTCGTTGCTTCACTCCCCAGACAAAGGCTATGGAGGGAAAAGGGTTTTAGGTTTAACAAAAAGGACTTGTAATACACTATCGTTGGAACACATATACGAACAAAGAGACTCGAACTCTTAAGGAATCACTTCCACTTTTGCTTAAGAAAAGATTGTTTACCAAATTTCAACATGTTCGTTTTTTACTTCTTCTTTTATGATTTGTATATGCAAAGCAGCGTAGCCGGAGTAAGGCTGCTCTAGCGCTGCAGCTACCCGACCCTGCCCACCTCCCCCCTCCCGCACCACAGGTCCTACCCAGCCCAGCCCTGCCTCCATACCCCTCGCCAACAGCCCAGCCTGGGCGAGGCGAGCGGGAGATTCCTCCCTTGCTAAAGCTAGAGGTGGCTGGGGTAGGGCAGGCTACTGCTCAGCTCGCCCGCCCAAAAGGCAGGCGGGAGGGAGGCTGCTGCTTCGCTCTTGTGATACGGCGGGAGGCAGGGGAGGGGGGGCTAGCAAGGGGTAGGGAGGCTGGAAAAAGGGGGGAGAGTCCAGAGACAAGGTAGGCATTTGTAGAGGAATACGGCAGCCCTTGTTCCCTATACGCGCCTACCCACCCCAGCCCCTCCACAGCCCTAGCCTTTGGCTGCTCTGCCTAGCCTGCCTAGCCTGCCTACGCCGATAGGCAGGCGTAGGCAGGCGTAGGCAGGCGCGGCTTTGCCGGGAGGGAGCTGCTTCGCCGCCCCTCCCACTTCGCCTCCTCTAGCCACCCTTTTGGGAGCGTGGTAGGCGGCGGTAGCGAGGGTAGGGCAGGGGGGTGGTAGGCTGGTGACGGGTCGGCATTTTAAATAAATATCTTTTTCTATTAAAGTGAAGCACAATTAATATGGCTAGTGCAAGGCCGAAGGCACGAACACGCCATATCTCCACCTCAAGGGCAAAGCCATAAGCTAGCAGCCAATTTGTCTTTTACCTTTAGTTTTACCAATTAGTATTATTATTTAGATTAAAAAAGTTAACAGCTCCGCAGGACAATTTTAATTAAAAATATACGATCCCACAGGCTAGAGGCTAAACCAATTAAAATTAAGGCCCCAAGAGGATTCGAACCCCTGAAAAAAGGTATTAACAGTACCCCGCAATAACCACTCTGCCATGACGCCTGAATATAATAATAGCGAGGCCCTGCTCCTCCCTAGCTACCGCTGCGCGAAAGGAAAGGAGGAACAGCGGAGCCGCAAGGCAAAAATACCCCTAAACCCCCTAACTACCCCTAACTACCCCTACCAGCCCTTGTTTAGCGGGGGCTAGGGATGGTTAAGGTGGGCCAGGGAGGTGTAGTTGGCAAAGCCTAGAGGTGTGTTCGGCTTATCCTAAAGGTAGTCAGGGAGTTTAATTATAAAATTAGTACGGTAAGCGCGGGTCGAACGCGCAATATCTCCATCCCAAATGAAGCGACTCAGCCAATTTGTCTTTTACCGTTTAGGTGTATTTAGTTTTGTTTGTTTATATGACTCTTTTAGAGAAAACGGTACTTTGTCTAGCGAAGCAGCGAAGCAGCGAAGCAGCGAAGCAGAGAAGCAGCGAAGCAGCGAAGCAGAGAAGCAGCGAAGCAGCAAAGCAAATACATTGCGACTACATGCTAGGCAGCTCCTCGCTAGCACATCTGGCTAGGGTGGGGTTAAATACTTATTTATTACGGTAACTGCACTATTACCGCCTCGCATCTTGTGCTGCTGCCTATCCTAGCCCTACCCTACCCACCCCCGGCCCACCTGCCTAGCCCTCCATCCCTAGCCTTTGGCTAGGCCGGGTGCAAGGGCGGGCGAACTGCTTCTCGCCTCCCCTACCCTACCCCACCCACCGCAACCCTAGCCTTTGCCTGGGGAGGGCATAGCCTCCCCCGCCCCGCCATGGCGAGGCGAGCGAACCAGCCGCCCCGCCCCTTCCTAGGGGAACACTGGGCAAAGCCTGCAGCCGCCCCTTGCGAAGCAGCCGCCCCGCCATGGCGAGGCGAGGCGAGGCGAGGCGAGGCGAGTCGAGGCGAGGCGAGGCGCGAGAGTCGGCTGGGGTGGGGGGCGGCGGAAGAGGCGAGGGCGAGACAAGCAAAGTGGGGCGGGCCTTGCTCGCCTCTCCCCTCTGCTTTGCTAGAGATTCCAAGGACTCTTAAGGGGCTGGAGGGTGTGGTGCTGCCAGGCCAGGCTTTGCCAGGCCAGACAAGGCAAAGCCTAGAAAAAGGGTAGAGTCCCTTAGTTAAGAGGCCTGAACGGGCGGGGCGGGGCGAGAAAAATAAACAGGAAAATTTGTTAATTAAAATACGAGTATTTCCCCTTTCCTTTTACCCTTACGCTGCACTGCCTTACCCAGCCCTAGCCTACCCACCCCTAGCCACCCCACCGCTACGCCTGCCTATCGGCGTAGGCAGGCTTTGCCTCGCCTTGGCGCGAGGGAGGCTGCTGCCTTGCAAGAGGGAGGCTGCTGTGCCTGCCTGCCTGCCTGTCGGCGCGGGGCGGCGCGGCCTTGCTCCTCTCTTCCGCCTTGGAATCTCCCGCTCGCCTCTTGCAAAGCAGCAAGGCGGGGAGGTAGGCGGGGATGTAGGCGAGAGAAGCAGCAAAGACGGTACGGGAGGGTGGGGGGGGCGAAGATACAAGGCCGAAGGCACAAATTTAAATAAATTTTATGAGCCTTACCGATTCAGGGGTTTAAATCAAATTTCTATCAATAAAGATTAAAATATTATAATTATTATTATGAGTATAATAATAAGAATGCAATCATTAATGAGAATAAACCAGTTGCTTCCGCTAAAGCAAACCCTAAGATTGCAAATGAGAATAATTGTGATCTAATTTGAGGGTTTCTAGCTGTTGAAGCTATTAAAGAAGAGAAGATTAAACCAATACCTGCACCTGCACCGATTAATCCGGAGCAAGCTAAACCTGCACCGATGTATTTTGCAGCTGCTAACATTTTAAAAAAAATAAAATTAATTATTAGATAGCGTCTAACATATGAAATAATTAAAAATACATACTCTTTTAATTCGTTTGAATAAAAGATAAAATCTAAACAATTTTTTCTGCTTCTGCAAAACGCAAAGCAGCGTACCCCCTCCCCCGCCTTGCTCGCGCCCACCCCTACCCAGCCCAGCCCTAGCCTACCCACCTCTAGCCCTAGCCACCCCACCGCTAGCCTACCGCCCCGCCATGCTGCTTTGCCTGCCTAGCCTGCCTAGCCTGCCTAGCCTGCCTAGCCTGCCTATCGGCTAGGCAGGCGTAGGCTGGCGTAGGCAGGCGTAGGCAGGCTAGGCGGGGCAGGCATAGCCTCCCTTGCGAACCAGCCGCCCCGCCATGGCGAGGCGAGGCGAGTGAAGCAGCCGCCAAGGCGAGGCGCGAGGGAGCTGGTTCGCAAGGGGTGGGCTGGGGTAGGGAGCTGCTTCGCAAGGGCTGGGGTAGGGAGCTGCTTCGCAAGGGCTGGGGTAGGGAGGGTGTTGTGCCTTCGGCCTTGCAAGAGTGGGAGTTGGCAAAGCCAGGGGAGAGGGCAACGGAGCGGGACAGAGGCATTGGTTTAACTTACCTACTTGCAATTGATACATTAACCTACCAAAGGTGGTAGTCGCCTTACAACTTTAGGACTTCAATTTACGCAGCTTGCTAATATAGCTATGCGCATCACATAATATTACCACTTCCCTTATTAGACCTTGACCACTCACCTTTTTCGGACAACTGTAGCCTATTGTGCAGCAGCAGCTAGCTGATGAGACAAGGTTGATTACTGCACCACGTATTTGTTTAATCTATCTATCGCCACGCCCTAACGCTCGCACCGCAAAGCGAGGGGCTGCTTCGCCTCCCTACCATTCCTTCGTATATTCGCTTAGCCATGCTGGCAAAGCGAAGGGTGCGAGGCGCAGTAGATCTAGCGCTAGCCGGTGGTAGCGCGGTTGAAAAAGGGGGGGAGTAAAATGGCTGTATAAATAAAGTACCTGCTAATTTCGTGTGCTTACTAATCAGGTGATGGGCGAAGCCAGCCGCACATCTTATTTTTATAATTTGATTTACAGTTTTTATTTTAGCCTTCCAGCCAAAGGCTAGGGTGCGAGTAAATAAAGACCCAACTACAATCGTATTGCACCTGGCCTTAGGCTATGCACCTTCTAATCGAGATACAGCTAGGCAGCGAAACTCATTTTTGGAGAAAGATAGATTCGAACTATCATATTTTATATTGCAAGTATAACCGACTACCAATTATCATATTGCCCCATATTAATTTTGAGTTAGGTTATTATATTAAAACCCCCTTTTATTATCTGACCCTAACCCTATCCTACCCTACCCTACCCTACCCTACCCTACCCTACCCTACCCTAGCCTTTGGCTGGGGTGGGCTGGGGTAGGGAGCTGCTTCGCAAGGGCTGGTCTGGGCGGGGGTGTTATGATTCTTCTGCCGCTGCGTCTGGGAACCCGTTTGCGCGTACTACTCCCTATTGCGCCCGCTCTTCCTCCTTCCCTAGCTTGGCCTTTGCCCCGCCAGCCCCTCATTGTCTCCATCTCTACCGCCCCACCTGCCCTAGCCACCCCACCACTACCCGAGCCACCCCAAGCCAAAGGCTAGGGGTGGCTAGGGGCGGGCCGCCGGGGGT